TATTTTTATATATATATATATATATATATGATACTCTAAATCAGAATCGTTTAAAAATTATAAGAACCTTGGAAGTAATTTAAATTTTTTTTTTAACGTAGGACACGGCGTGATCAAAATTGAATTGCATATACAAACATAAAAATGGATTAAACATTACTAAGATCTCCCGGCAATTTGAAAATTCAAGTTAAATGTAGTATTGTGAAGTAAGAGACATTAGCGTGTTGATCACACCTGCCTTGGGATTCGTGGTAAAATCTATGAAATACGACTCTCATCAAGAGAGCTGTTTATAACGGAAATACAAATTTTACAAATATATTCAGGAAAGAGAAAAACATGTGAAGGAATATTATTGCAACGAAGTGAAAGTTTTAATGATAGTAATGAATGAAGAATTTACGAAACAGGCGTTTTCCCCTTGAATTTTCTTGAACAAGAATCTTACGATTTTCCTAGAGCTTTCTTGATTTTGGTGTTGTGGGAAGAACTAGCAGACTCTTTTTATATGATATTCTCACACGTATGAAAGATTACTAATTTTAACTCCAGCCCAACACTGAAGAAGACTCACAAGAATTGTACACTTCTTGTTCAAGACGAGTGGAGGGATGAAACACCTGTCTTTTGCCTTCCTTCTAATCCACTATAGATATTAAAGTTATTAAGTTGAAATAACTTGTTGCATAACATAAGGGTCATAAGAACTAATTAGTTATAAGGTAAAACCCAGAAGTACTTAATATAAAACGCTGAATATAAGACATGCATATTTCGGCTTCATTTGAGATCATCCAAAATGCCATATACTGTACTGGATTATTAACATAGCTAGCAACTGCGACTAGATGCAAATTTCACGCTGTTTTTTTTTTTCAAAAAAAAATGGTCAAATTTGCTCCTGTACATTTCAAGCTCCGCCACTGAGGGTTTCGGAAATTACCCTAATAACGTCGGTCATAGGGCACATGAATATGCTAATTGTTCCAAAAATTTGGTCCTCGTTACCGTATACAAGCACTATAAATTTGAAGCCGATTGGATGAGACGTTCTCGAATTATGAGCGAAATAAAATAAGTTGGAGGAAAGAATATATAATTCAGGCAGCCTCTTAGAGGTGGCTCGTCGGGAATTACCTGGAGTATACCTGGAGAGTATTCTGGGGATCAACGCCCCCGCGGTCTGATTCATGACCAGGCCTCACGGTGGATAAGGTCCTGATCAACAAGATCGTTACTGGCTGCCGCAAGCAAACCGACGCAAGAACCACAGCTTGGCTAGTCAGGTACTAATTAATTTATTCCAAATGTACTTTTGTTCCCCACTGAATATTCTGTACTCAACAGCACCTTCGTCGTTTCAGCTGGACTTCGATGAGCCTTTCGGGCCGAAGGGCAAGACTCCGTGGGTGACTTTCAACGGAGAGGAGCTGGCTGATTCCCAGCTGATCCTAGAACGCCTCACTGAACACTTCAATCTTAGGAACTCCCTAACGAAGGAGCTGCAAGCCATTGCCAGGGCCTTCGTTGTCATGATGGACGAACATCTTATCTGGTGAATTTAGTGAATCTTAAACTTTTTATATGATAATGATTAATTATCACCCCTTAATCTGACATAAACATGTAAGAATATTTTAATGCTTAATATGAGGATATATTCTTTGGCATTCATCTGGCGAGGCTTTAAATTAATCACCTTTAAGCGAAGAAATTACCTCCAAGGGGGAGCAAAGGGGATCATGACCCCTCCCTCTTTTCCCAAGGGCTCGCCGTCATGTTGTGTCAAGCTCTTTCTTGAAAAAGAAGGAGGATCATGACCTCTTTGGTTCCCCCTTTGGTTTCCTTCTTTATTACGAAGGATATTTTATTGTTCTTGAATTTATTTTTCTTATTAGTTACATTATTATGCTGTAATTATTACACATCTTTCTCTTGTTGCAGGGGACTCAGAGTGTGGCGCTATAGCATCGACTGCGGTGCCGGATTCTACGAGTGCCACCTCCACGTTCCCTTCATCGTCAGTGTGGCACTGCCTTTCCTGTGCTGGAGGATGCGTCGGGCTCTGTGGCACCAGGGTATGGGTAGGCACACCTTTGCCCAGGTCCAGAGCATCGTCAGGAAGGACCTGACTGCCGTGTCTGAGTTTTTGGGTGAGTCGTGGTGAGGGTTTCTTTTCTTTTCTGCGAGGTAATAATCCCGTGTGGATCATTCAGGGCTGGGAGGGGCGGAAGCTGAATTCTTCGTCCAATAATAGTCGCGCCGTCTCTGACCAGTCAGGCTGTTGGTAATTATGATGAGGATGAGCATTCTTGGCAGGCTGATAACTATGACTGCAGGTAAGGAAAGTTGGACAAATGCCTTAATAAATAGGTGTCACTACCGTGTCTAGATCACCTGGGAAGGTGTAGAGCTGTCCAAAAAACGAATACAGTCATTATATATAGATATTATAATTTTTTGCAAATTAATTCGTAGACATAAATTACTGATTTGTTAGATCAGGCAGATAAAAAAAATATATATATATATTTAAATGCTTTGGTAAATGAAAATCCAATTGCCAATATTAAAACGGGATTAAATTCTCTTTTGAATGTTGTTAATCTCTATAGTAAGTGATGCTATAATATGTGAATGCATGCACAGCTTTAAGAAGAGATACATAGCAAGAAAAGAGTGGACCTAGTACCGATCAGAAAAAAAAAAAAAAAAAAAAGGCTGACCGGCATTGTGACTAGACCTGCCACGGGTAGTACAGATTGAAGACAAGGGAATATATATTTTAACTACTTGGAGAGTAGGTCTTCTTTCAATAACCTTATGAAAGAATATTTGGGCAATTGCTAATATAAATATTCGCGGTGGAAGAGGTGTTAACTAGATGTGTACCCCAGGTGAGAGGAGACTGATGGGAGGACTGAGCAGTGAACTATGTAGTTTTACACGCAACATTGTGTACAACTACAGTTCCTTCTACGTCAAGTAACTGGTATGGCAGACAAATTTTTGTCCGGCATATTGTTAGTTTACGTTATTCGTTAGGTAGGTTAGGAGGTAGTTAGGTTAGGCCCTCTATAGGAAACAGGACAAGCCTGACGTGGGTCTTTTCTTTTGCTTACATCTACCTATTTTTTTAAATCTTATCCTTTCTCGTTGTTATCTCTTACATCAAGCTTTTTTGGTAAACAGACTAAAACTCTTTTTTGTTTTCTCTTCCTAAAACCAACTGAAACGTCTTATTTAGCTTAGATTACACGCGTGGTTGAGTACCTAAAGGGAATATGTCACCTTTGGAGTAACTTTGCCTAGGTGCGTCAATCAGCACATGCTTTATCTCCTCTCTCTCTCTTTCTTTTTTTTTTTTTTTACGCAGGGTTTGACAAGTTTAAGGATCCCTAGCTTTATTGAAAGTTATTTACGGTTAAGATTCCTACTTATTAGCAACTAAGAGTTGTTACCTAATCAGTCATTGAAAGCATTTTTATTGTTATGAACAACAAGTAGGGAACATAATGAAGTTGAGCCATCTGTGGGCAGCATTTCATTTGATCAACTGACTTTATCTCGTTGACATCATTATGCTGTACGAATGTGTTCCATACTCGAGTCATCCTGGGTATGTATGATCTCAGATGGAGTGATGTTCTGGAGAAGGGTACAGCAGAGTGAAGTTGGCTTTCTGCCGTCTTGTGGCATAAAAGCTTGTTTCACGCTGTCTCTCTCTCTCTCTCTCTCTCTCTCTCTCTCTCCCCTCTCTTTTCTCTCTCTCTCTCTCTCTCTCTCTCTCTCTCTCTCTCTCTCTCTCTCTCTCTCTCTCCTTCACTTCCTTATCTTTCATCACTGCCAGTCATCTCAAATAATTAATTCATATTTATTTTACAGAAGAACTGCCCAACTTGGCTGGCTACGTCAAACGTGTCCGTCAGCGACTCTGGCCTGACTGGAACAAGTGTCTTGACCCGCCATTACCGTCGCAATAGAGTGTATCAACGTAACATCGCAGTGTGATCGTACGCTATACTGCCAGTCAAGTGTCTACCAGTCTACCAGTGAGTCTTTGTTTACCTCTCATGAGTCGCAACTAAACAGTGGTTTTGCAGAAAGTGATTCAAAGGAAACATTCCTAAGTGATTTGGCAACTGTTTAACGCGTCAAAATAATAACAATAATAATAATAATAATAATAATAATAATAATAATAATAATAATAATAATAATAATCCATAAAGGGCAATGAGTTTTGTTTACTTCACGCCTTGATAGGTGTGCATTGTAACCATAATTTGCAACTTGAGCATTTTGTGATGTGTGCAAAGTTGTCATATTGCATTAATTATCACATTGAAAGCAAATTAGCTAAAAAAATCGGTGGAAACCATAAGGCATATCGTTGATGAAAACGCTTAAATAACAATTGAAATCTTTATACCAGACAACGTTTGGCGTCTAATAGATTTTTCCTGATGATAAGACAGTAAATAAGCAGAACATAGGAATAAAGTCAGGTAAAAACATATGGGCATATTTTCTGTGGGTACCTGTATATTAGCTCTGTTATGGGCCGCATTCATGGGGAAAAAATTAGGAAACACCGGTCTTGCTGGAATGTTGTATCCAGTATAAGAAAGCCTCTCTAGACCAGTGTTAAAAACTCTAGTACGTGCTGGAAGTATTCAGGTATATGGTAAAGGGTATCAGTGTACCTAATGATGTTAACTGAAAAAAAAAGTGGGAGGTGGGAGTTATGATAAGAGCAGTGCAACATTTGTCAGTTCCTCACCTGCATTATTGTTAGGTGAGGCTCATCAATATTGATAACATTGTTTTAACTCACAACACATTCTAGGTGTTTACCTAGGTGTTGCTAGAAGTTTACTTGTATTTATTTATTTATTTATTGCTGATTACCATTTAGTAACATTGAGCTAGATGAGGTGCACCTCAACCCTGAGACACCAAATAAACTATTGTGCAAAGAACAAGTGGCGTTTGAAATTGATTAACCATAGGATTCTACATTTCTTTTTTTTTTTAACACACCAGCCGTCTCCCACCGAGGTCAGGTGACCCGAAAATTAAGAGACAGATTCACCATCACTCCATCACATTACAGTTTATTACAGGCATTCACGAGTTGTCACATTAAAATTAATATCACATTGTTTACTTTTTAATAAAAAATGGGAAAATTAGGACATACACAGCCCACCAGAGATTCAAACTTTGCACCAAGAAACACCAGCTATAAAAGCTTAAAATAAAATTGTCCAGGAATTTTGTAGATATCTCACAGAGACCAATATTTCACAATACAACAGCACTAAGTTTGAAGTCACTCATAAGTTGCTGTATCAAGTTATTGGAGTTGAAGATTTAAAGCCAATAGAATGAAGAGCTCATAAAGTATTTGAACAATACCAGTACTTCAATTTTCCTAATTCCTTAAAAAAATTGCATTTTGGGATCTGCACAGACCAAAATCTATCCAAGCTTTTCGCTAAGACTGACCACTGGTTAAGTTTTAGTAACTTTTACTGAGGCTTTGGATACATAATAAAGATTTTTTTAACAGTGAGGGCTAACAGATGTTACGGGTACATAAAGGCACAGTTACGTAGCTTTAAATCAGAATAACACAATAAAGTCAAACACTGACCTCTTACCAGGATAGATATTCTCTAGTTATTTCACAGAACACAATTTGTTTAATAAAAATGGGAAATTAAAACTTACATAACCCAATACAGAAGAGAAGCTTCCTTTGAGAACAAACACATCAACACTAAAAACTTTAAGTTCTTCAGCGATTGCACAGAAGCAACAATTCAGAAGTTGTTAAAAGGAAGTTAGTGGAAGGTAAGAAAACTGTACTTACAAGTTCAATAACTTGTACCTCCAGCAATGAGATACCTTAAACTTAATGAGAGACAAATTCGTTTGTTGTGGTGTTTATTCTTTACCATTGTGAAGGTAACCTTTAGACTTTCTCAAACAAGTATCACTGAAGCTTAAAATCTAGATTTCTCAACACAAGCAAAATCATTAAAATAATTGTAACTGTTATAGCCAATGTCTTTGCTGTTAAAGACAGGCTAGGTAAGGTTTGTCAGGAAACTGGACAAGTGTTTCTTGATGCGGGTCGTAGTCATATGATGACCCACCGCTGGAGGTTCAGGCCATCTGATGCAAAACTTCCGCTGGCATACCGGTCCACCCCTTTTAAAAATTATGGTTATGATTTAAAACCATTTTTTTGTGAAAGATAGTTTAGAGGAATAAACGCGGTAGTGCAGTGGAAATCCAGTGGCCGAGTCCTGGCCATTTTCTTTATGGAATACACTTAGACTGAATCACATATCGTTAAGATATGTAAAGGATGACTTTTCCGTTTGTCGAACGAGTTTAGCGCTTCGCTGAATGTAGTTTATAACCTGGGCTCCTTCTCACATGCTAACACAACTTCTTCCGTTAACGAGAATTTGTAGATTTGTTGGCTGCAGTCAGGTCCTAGAATAATCGCTCCAGCGGCCCGATCCCAGACTAGACCTTGTGGTCAGGCTGTTGAAAGTGTGAAATCTATGTTTGACTGGTGAATTTTGAACTGGACTAGTGCCTGTGACCCACACGAATTTAAGGGGTTTCCTGTGAAAAATAATAATACTAATACTAATAATAATAATAATAATAATAATAATTTCGCTTGGCACTGTGGCACTTCTTACAGCTGTCGCCCTTATCACAAGTGGTCAGAGATTATACTCTATTATAAATAAGGCCAATAAAAGACGAATCTTGCATGCCGTTGTATAATAATAATAATAATAATAATAATAATAATAATAATAATAGTAATAGTAATATTAATAATAATAATAATAATAATTACAATAAGAAGCAACATTATTTAAAATGCCACCAATATGTCGAGAAAAAACAAAACAAGGAGAACCTAAAATCTTGAACTTACTGACATCTGTAAGCAGCCGGAAGAGAAGAAAGGTTGTTCAGAATGTTATATTGCTCCATGGCTCCCAGAGAGGCACCCTAGTATGTCGTCTTTCACCATACTAAGTGTTCAGTAATTCGATTGCTTGTGCACTCAGCACAAACAGTGACGTCAGGTGTTGATCCACGGTATGGGTGGAAACATTAAGACGTAATTCCTTGAGACACTTGGTGACCATCTTCACCTATCAGTAAAGAGGTACCTGGGTGTTAGTCGATTGGCATGAGTCGCATCCTGGGACAAAGCTGACCTAATTTGCTCGAAATACTCTGCATAACAAGGGGCTTTCTATATAGTAGTACGTCATTGATGTCAGCTAGGCCTGTATACCTCGTGCATGTACTTGCAGAAATAAAGATTATTATTATTATTATTATTATTATTATTATTACTATTATTATTATTACATGTAAATAATCGAGTAGAAAGGCAAGATTGGATATTCGAAAGCTTATCGTAACTGCTGCAAAGTTAATTCTAACTAATATAATCATTTCTAACTAATTTCTAACTAATATAATTATTTGTAATAGAAATTATTATTTTTAGGAAAAGCAATGCTTAACATAAAAAAATACATTAGTTTACCATTTAAAAATAGAGAGAAATAAAGAAAACCTAGAAAACTCTCTGATATAAAGAAAAAGAGTTAATATGAGAAACTAATTTAAACATCTTAGACCCAATACGTATTTTTCAGGTTGTTTTTATAGTCATTTGTTTAGTTGGAGAAATTAGTGATGTGACTGAAATTGACAGTCAGTGAAGTGACTGCCCCTATAGAGTGGCCCGTGGCCTGGTAGGCAAAACTCTTACTTTACATGCTGAGGGGTCCAAAGTTCGATTCCCGGTGTGGGTGGAAACATTGGGCTTGTTACCTTACACCTGTTGTCTATGTTCACAAATCGGTATAAAATGGGTACCTGGGTGTTAGTCGACTGGTATGGGTCGCATCCTGGCATAAAATTGACCTAATTTGCCCGAAATGCTCTGTATAACATGGGACTTTATATATAGTGGTATGTCATTAATAATAATATCTTTATTTCTACAAGTGCAAGGTATACAGGCCTAGCTGACATCAGTGACATACTACTATATAGAAAGCCGCTTGTTATGCAGAGCATTTCGGGCAATTAGGTCAATTTTATCCCGGGATGCGACCCACACCAGTCGACTAACACCCAGGTACCCATTTTATACTGATGGGTGATTAGATTTTGCCACCGAAGTGGCTAGTTTATTGTGCACCCCATATCCATCCTGTGGACGGTAGCGCGAGAGCATGTGGATACACAAAAGGCCTAGGAACTAGGCCCCAAAGGGTTAACAGGAATACATATGGATTTATATCTACATATCTATAGTTCACTTATCTGTTACAAGCAAATTTAGGAAATTTGCTTAGTATATCTGGTATCTTATTTTCATTAATAAGATATCTTGACATGTCACATAGGTTATTATACTGTCTGTCTCTGTATTCCTCAATGAGTGGACAATTAAGCACATAGTGTTCAAGAGAGTGACCATATGCCTGATCACATTATTTACATTTAGTTAGATCATCATCTGTGTGTCTCCCAAACTGCCAGAAGTACTTGTAACCAAGCCTAAGCCTGGCCACTACAAATCAGTCAGTCTGTTCACATTGCAAGTTGCTCCATAAACATACTTATCTACGTTCATGTTATCATAGTGGGTTATAGATCTACTCAGGCTTCTAACTGCATTCCTATAACAATCATTTTCATTATTTACTTCTCTCCTAATATTATTCCTAATGCTAGACACAGTTATACCAAAGTTATATTCTACATTCTCCTTCTCGATACTCTTCTTGGCTAACATATCAAACTTTATCATGAAGGAGTAATCCAATGTGTGATGGGATCCATAGCAATTGTACATTAATTCCTTTGTCCCTAATTTTTGAGTATCTATACCTGGCTTCCCCAATGAGCATGTTGTTGGAGTCATTATATGAGCCAAGAGCCTTCAATGATGACATAGAATCAGTAATGATGATAGAGTCAAGCTCAGTGTCATAGGTTAGCTTCAGCGCCATTAGGATTGCAACAATTCAGTTTGCAGTGTAGACGCCCAGTTGTTAATTCTTATGCCTAACTCAACAAATTTATTATCGTTCTTAACTAGGGAGGTGGCAACAAGAGCAGATGCAGCCCTGCCAGAAGACTCCTGTTTAGATCCATCAGTGTATATAACTTGTGATAACTTGTTACTACCAGCTAGGTGAGAAATTTCTTCTTGAGCAGTTGCTCTAACAAGAGATTTAAGGAAGGGATTACTAGCAATGAGCTTCTTGGGAGGGACTTGTAGGTATGTGATATTAAATGAAACACATCTTCCATGGAGGGGTGAAATGCTCTTGTTGCCTACAGTGATACAGTTCATGCAGGTTATAAAACTTAATGCAATTGCACGTTTTCACAATCCATTTAGATCTGTGTGTATTTACCTCTAGACACTTGGTAGATTCACTGTGACAGTGTCTGGTTCGTTTCTCAACATTCTAATACCGAGTACAGTGTTAATTTCAAACAATCCTATCACTGATACTAGAAATACCAAGCTCCTCCTCATGTTAAGAACTTTTGTAGATCTGGGACAGCCAAGAATAATCCTGAGAGCTTCATTTTGCATTAACTCCAAGGGTCGGAGAGAACTTTCTCTAGCTAATATCAACATGGGAGCAGCATAATCAATTAAGGACCTAACATAAGCTATGTACATCATTCTCACGATTCTCACATTTGCACCATAGTTGGGATTGTAGCCAGCAACAGCTTTGAGAGCATTTAGCCTAGCTTTACATTTCTTGTTTAGTTGTGGTATAGTGGATTTGTTAAAGGGTACATCTACACCAAGATATCTGTAAGTTTTAACGTAGCTAATGATTTCACCCTGCAAATAGATGGGTGGGGGATGTCGTTTGCT